CCCCAAAACCCCAAAACCCCAAAACCCCATGCAGTAAATAAATCATTAAAAATAAATTTTATGAAAATTAATTGACATTACATTCAAGCAAAAACAATGGCTTTTATATAATTAGTAATATATAGACCTTATTTCATCATTCGACATATTCCTAATGAATTATATTAAAGTAATCTTTCTCAAACATTTTCTATAAATACTCTACGATAAGCGGTAATGTTTTTATCGCTCATTTTACCTTTTAAATCTTTAATCAAGTTAAAATCTTTGATTTTCATTACTCCCTTAAAATCGGGTAGTTACGCACTTTAATTTATATCCCTTGAATCCTCATTTTCAGGTTAAAATTCCTCCTCAATACCATCTGATAATTAATTGAGAGGTTTATTTCTAGGGACGATCTATTGAAGTATGATATCAAAGCTTAAATGTTAAGTTGATTGATTTTAGCATTTTTAAATGAAACTATGTAAATTTTTTGACGATAAACCTGTAATTCTATTAAGTTTTGAATATTTAGTTGATTTGCTGATATCTGCTAGCTTTTTCGACAAATTTTAAGATGAAGGCTAATGCTTCATTTCCTCGTTCTCAAATAAGTCTTTCTATTTATTACATGCACCGTTGTTCTTCATCTCAGCAAAAATTGCATTGTTTTCTATGATCTTTTAGCAATATTCTGCATCGGTTTGAAACCATTAATGCTATTATAAAATTGTTAAAATTTATGTTTGTAACTTACCTAGAGACACTATTCTGCAGATAATCTGTTCCTAGGGTCTTTTTCTAGCATCTTTTTCATCAAATCAATGCCCTCTGGACTCAGTTAAATGTCACTCTAAGCGATCAATACCTTTGAATCATCATATTGATTGTGCATCAAGATTTATTTGACAGATTCTCCTTGGAACAAATACTTTTTTAAATTTAGGAAATAAAAAATGCATCCCAAACTAAAAATATCACTGTTTAAGTCAACCACATGTTATCTAATTATTTCTGGCGCCATGAATCCGGGAGTTCCACATTTTAATTGTTTGTATTCATAATCATCATTGTAGCATGCGAGACCAAAGTCAATTAATGAGATATTAAGATCTATAGTATTTTTGAGAAGAACATTGTCAGGTTTGAGATCTCTATGAATAACATTTAGTCTATGCATCATATGAACTACACCAATCAACTAGATCATCAACTTTTTTATCTATGATTCAC